ATGGGGACGCCCTCGTGCCATCTCCTGCACTTTTAAACTTGGCGTGAATACGCTCTATTTCATGAAAAAGATGCGCAAGTTTAGAAGCCAAAGCAGGAAGAAATTAAAACGGTGAACGCAACGTTTGTTTTTAGATGCATCAAAAATTTGAAAGATTGAAAAAAAAATTTAAGCGCCTCTGTAAAGCTTCTTTGAGTCGACAAACATAAAACCTCTGAAATAACATGAAAAGTTGACCATTACCAGAAGGCGCCTCCTTTTCTTTCTGCTTCTCTTTCGCCTTTTCTTTTTCCTTCTGCTTCTCTCGCTCCTTCTCTTTTTGCTTCTCTCGCTCCTTCTCTTTTTGCTTCTCTCGCTCCTTCTCTTTATTCTTCTCTCGCTCCTTCTCTTTATTCTTCTCTCGCTCCTTCTCCTTTTTGTTCAAGCTGGCTTTGAGCTTTGCAATCACCTCTTCAGGATACACGCTCCTCTCCTCCCAAATTGTAAAAATCCTTTCCACTGATTTGCAGACTTTCGCATCTCTATCCAAACAGACAGCATCACGTGCACATGTCATTAGTAGCAGACGCAGAACCATTTCGTTTATATTCTACATTTAAAGAAAGGGAAAATTGTATAGAACAAAGCTGAATAGAAAGATACTCACTTGATGAGCTGAACTGCATTTGGGAGCGCTTCAGAGAAGGCTGTACGAAACACGATGGCATTTTTTCTTTTGCAGTTTTGAATCACATCATTGGCAAGGTAGAACAGATTCAAACGATGATTGTTGTCAGCTTTTAAAAAAAGGATAAATAAGAAGTGAATTGGTTAAACTGCAAACTTAAAATACATGCAACATCTAATAATTTCTCGTCAGTTTGTTTTTTGGGACTTTTTTGTTGTCTGCTTTGTTACACGATTCTACACGTAACTCTCCTACTTTATTCAAACGTTCTCTATACACACAACGTAATTAATAAACAACTAAAGAAACCCATGAAAAATTAGCCTTATACCGGTAGTAATAACAAATGTGCATATAAACTATTAATACTAGGATAATAATACTGATAACAGTGCATTATTTAAAATTTAAAACTTTACTTGTTTATATATTTACATGTACTATTTAAGACTGAACAATCGCTTTGTTGCTCTACATAAATATCCACAATTTATTATTGATTTTTATACAGTTTTGTTATAAAGGCATTTTTTTAATGAAGCTGGTAAACATTATATGATTTATGTGTTTATATGGTTTAAACAAACAACTCCTGCTGGGTAACGCGTATCAACACTGTTTAATGATGACAATTTAAGGAACAGACTGCTCATTTTTAGATGACCTACTACTTTTCACAAAAAGCTCCTACATGCTGCGAGAGTCAAAGGTGGTGTTACACCATCATTAGAATTATTCAAAACACCACAAAAATGCCTCACCAGTGACCAACAAATGTTGTAATATTTATTATAATAAATATTATAATTGGTGATTAAACAACAATATGCAAAAAATGCATTATATATTATTATTTAACACAGAACGCTTGAGGTTTATTAAACAATTGAGACTTTATAAATCTGCTGTAAGGCCAAAATACTGTACAGACAATTATTTTTAATTTGCCAAGATCCTGGCTTAACAGCAACTCAACAGGACAGAATAGAAAACCCTAAATATCAAAAAGGTCCCAAAAATGTATAATGTTACTCTCTTCTTTACATTAATCATGCTGTAACACAATCTAATTCCTAGCAGGTTGCAGACCAACCTTTAATTTTACTTATGGAGGAGTGTGTTAGGATGAGTTAATTATCTAATAATTAGTTGTGTGTTTTTAGGTTGTTTTTATGTCACAGGATTTTTACATATTTAATGTATTTGCATGTGTGCTGTCAATGCATTATGCAGAGCAGCTTTTTAATCTCAGTGTAGGCTTGGTGAAAAAAATCTGTCCATCCATCCACTAGTTTTAAATTTGATGGGATTTTCAAGTGTTGTAAATAATATTTTCATTAGATGAAATGCTTCTGTTCCTCTGATGTTGGTGTTCCTTAGTGACTTAAACACTTATGAACCTATGAAAAGAGATCCAGGAAGTGGTTACAAGAAAAAGTTAATAGATTGCCTGAAAATTTTGGAGCAGGACAAGGCTATTGACCGTTTTCTGTACCACAGACTGTACCCAGGGGAGGCCACACCTAGTCTGTATGGTTTACCTAAAATCCACAAACAAGGTGTACCTTTAAAACCAATGGTTAGCATGATTAACTCTGTCACTTACAATGTTTCCAAATATCTGGCGTCTGTACTCATCCCTTTAGTTGGCAGCTCAGAACACCACATACAGAACACCATGGACTTTGTGGATAAGGTGAGGGATGTCATCATGGAGACTGATGAAACAATGGTCTCTTTTGATGTCACATCACTCTTTACGTGCATTCCTGTTGATGATGCTGTAGAGGTGGTCAGTTTAAGATTAAAATCAGACACCACTCTGAGCAGCAGGACCACGCTTTCCACAGAACAACTGTGTCAACTCTTGAAACTGTACCTGCAGTCAACCTACTTCACATATGGGGAGCAATATTATAGGCAGAAACATGGGTGTGCTATGGGGTCTCCAGTTTCTCCTATTGTTGCCAACCTGTACATGAAGGAGGTAGAAAAGAGAGCCTTGACGTCCTTTTCAGGGACACCACCAAGCCATTGGTTCAGGTATGTTGACGACACCTGGGTTAAACTCAAATTTCAGGTAGTCCAACATTTTACTGACCACATCAACTCTGTGGATAAATACATCAAGTTCACACGAGAAGATGTAAAAAATGGCAGGTAGGTTTTCTTGGACTGTGAGGTCTCAGTCTCTGATAGAGGACATTTGCAAACTGAGGTGTACCGCAAACCCACACACACAGACCAGTATTTGCAGTTTGACTCCCATCACCCTTTGGAGCACAAGTTAGGAGTCATCAGGACTCTGTATCACAGAGCAGACAGCGTCCCCACTAGCTCAGGAGCCAGGCAGAAGGAGAAATCCCACACAAGACAGGCTCTAGAGCAATGTGGATATCCTAACTGGGCCTTCCTGAAAGCAGAGAAGAAACCCAAACAGGACTCCAGTCAGCCATCAGGTGAAAAGGAGGAACCCAGACCCAGACCAGTGGTCATTCCATATGTTGAGGGAGTATCAGAGAAACTGAAACGTTTATTTTCTAAACATAACGTCCCAGTGGCTTTTAAACCCCAAAATACATTACGGCAAAGACTGGTTCATCCCAAAGATCCAGTCCCCCGGCACAAACAGAGTAATATTGTGTATGCTGTTCAGTGTCAGGAGGGCTGTGATCAGTCTTAAATCGGGGAAACAAAACAGCCACTGGCCAAAAGGATGGCCCAGCACAGAAGATCAACATCATCAGGCCAGGACTCTGCGGTCTACACTCATCTCCAGGCCAGCGGTCACTCTTTCAGGGATGAAGATGTTCACATCCTGGACAGAGAGGAACGATGGTTTGAGAGAGGAGTAAAGGAGGCCATCTTTGTGAAAAGAAATCGTCCATCGTTAAACAGGGGTGGAGGCCTCCGGGTTCAACTGTCCCCCTCTTACAATGCTGTGATTGCTAGTATCACTCAGCCCTCTGTGAACAGTAAACAGCCATCAGTGTGCTAATGATCCATTGTTAGGCTGATGGTCCTTCTTGAGCATGTGATCAGCTGGTTTTGGTTGTCAGCAGCAAAACTGGTTGATCCACTCAGAGACGGTGCTATTTAAGAGACTGAGCTGAATACAGCTCCTCAGACTGAGGAAGTCTCTCAGATGAGAGACGAAACGTTTCTACATTTTTTTTGTTGTTTTGCTTCGTTTCCTTTTTTTGTGAATGTCCAGAGGACCAGATTTAACTTTTTTAGATTTTTCTACCTGGATTATTGAGCATGCATCAGGATATATCATGAAAAGGTTCTCTAAACAAGCTATTAACCTAACCATCTGAATCAACGATGTAACTCTAAACACCTGCAAAAGATTCCCGAGGCTTTTAAAAACTCCCAGCCTTGTTCATTACTCAAAACCGCAATCATGGGTAAGACTGCTGACATGACTGCTGTCCAGAAGGCCATCATTGACACCCTCAAGCAAGAGGGTAAGACACAGAAAGAAATTGCTGAACGAATAGGCTGTTCCCAGAGTGCTGTATCAAGGCACCTCAATGGGAATTCTGTGGGAAGGGAAAAGTGTGGCAGAAAACGCTGCACAACGAGAAGAGGTGACCGGACCCTGAGGAGGATTGTGGAGAAGGGCCGATTCCAGACCTTGGGGGACCTGCGGAAGCAGTGGACTGAGTCTGGAGTAGAAACATCCAGAGCCACCGTGCACAGGCGTGTGCAGGAAATGGGCTACAGGTGCCGCATTCCCCAGGTCAAGCCACTTTTGAACCAGAAACAGCGGCAGAAGCGCCTGACCTGGGCTACAGAGAAGCAGCACTGGACTGTTGCTCAGTGGTCCAAAGTACTTTTTTTGAATGAAAGCAAATTTTGCATGTCATTCGGAAATCAAGGTGCCAGAGTCTGGAGGCAGACTGGGGAGAAGGAAATGCCAAAATGCCAGAAGTCCAGTGTGAAGCACCCACAATGAGTGATGGTCTGGGGTGCCATGTCAGCTGCTGGTGTTGGTCCACTGTGTTTTATCAAGGGCAGGGTCAATGCAGCTAGCTATCAGGAGATTTTGGAGCACTTCATGCTTCCATCTGCTGAAAAGCTTTATGGAGATGAAGATTTCATTTTTCAGCACGACCTGGCACCTGCTCACAGTGCCAAAACCACTGGTAAATGGTTTACTGACCATGGTATTACTGTGCTCAATTGGCCTGCCAACTCTCCTGACCTGAACCCTATAGAGAACCTGTGGGATATTGTGAAGAGAAAGTTGAGAGATGCAAGACCCAACACTCTGGATGAGCTCAAGGCCGCTATCGAAGCATCCTGGGCCTCCATAACACCTCAGCAGTGCCACAGGCTGATTGCCTCCATGCCACGCCACATTGAAGCAGTCATTCATGCAAAAGGATTCCCGACCAAGTATTGAGTGCATAACTGAACATGATTATTTGAAGGTTGGCGTTTTTTGTATTAAAAACACTTGTCTTTCATTGGTGGGATGAAATATGCTAATTTTTTGGGACAGGCATTTTGGGTTTTCATGAGCTGTATGCCATAATCATCAGTCATTTCATTTTTATCATTACATTATGGAAAATAATGACCTTTATCACAATATGCTAATTTTTTGAGAAGGACCTGTACAACATTTGTCTCAATTTTTTCCCATAAAGTAATAACAAAAATATATTTCTGAGACACGTCCCACTGGGAGGAGACCCAGAGAAAGACCCAGGACACGCTGGAGGGACTATGTTTCTTGGATGGCCTGGGAACGCCTCGGGATTCCCCCGGAGGAGCTGGACCAAGTGGCTGGGGAGAGGGAAGTCTGGGCCTCCCTACTTAGGCTGCTACCCCCGCAACCCAGCGGAAGAAAATGGATGGATGGATGAATATTTCGGAGACAAAACTTTGTCCCAACTGTCACACAGGTACATATACTAAACAGCTGTAACTGTATAAAATAAATGTTTTAAAAATAAACTACATATATTACATAGTTTATTTTTTAGACCATTATTTACATATACTAAATAATAATCCTATTCAGCTGTGCCGCCTTCACGACGTTAGTAAGCATGTGAGAACTGCAGGTGCAGGTCCGACAGACTTCGGCCACCTTCC